CTCCAGCAGACACTGCTGCCAACCCTAGCTGATGTTAGCAGCAGTGGGACAAGGACAAGCACGTCCCCTCCCCATGTCACTGAAGGACCTACAGGTTCCCCTCAGGGCTCACCTCAGGGCTCCTGGCACTCCAGCCCCAGCTGGGAGGCTCGGGTGGATGGATTCCACTGCTGATGTGGGCAGCAGGGCAGGGAGGGGATCCTGCCCCTCTGCCAGCTCTGGGGAGACCCCCCTGCAGTGCTGGGGCAGCTCTGGAGTCCTCAGCACAGCAGAGCCAGGGACCTGCTGGAGCGGGGCCAGAGGAGCCCCAGCAATGCCCCGAGGGGGGAACCCCTCTGCTGGGAGCCCAGCAGGAGAGAGTTGGGCTGGGGCAGCCTGAGAGGAGAAGGCTCCAGCTGGGGAGACCTGCTGGGGGCTGCCAGGGCTTCCAGGGGCCTGGAAGAAAGCTGGGGAGGGACTTTTTGACAGGGCCTGTTGGGGCAGGACAAGGGGTGATGGTTTGAAACTAAAAGAGGGAGATTTAGACTGGAGAGAAGGAAGAAATTTTGGCTGCTGGGGGTGGTGAGCCCCTGGCCCAGGTTGCCCAGAGAGGTGGTGGCTGCCCCATCCCTGGAACCATTCCAGGTGAGGTTGGCCGGGGCTCTGAGCAACCTGCTCTAGCTGCAGATGTCCCTGCTCAGGGCAGGGGGTTGGACTGGGTGACCTTTAAGGTCCCTTCCCACCCAACCCAGTCTGTGATTCAGTGGTTCTGCAGTGTGGGGGCTGAAGCCTGTAGATCCAGGACTCCCCAGCCCATCAGATCTGCTACAGCTACTGCCCCTGTGAGCAAAGAGCCCCTCAGCCATCAGCACCCGCACAGGACTCCCCCAGACAGCCCCTCCCGACCTCCCACCACTCGGGTGGCAGTGCTCCAGTGTCAGTTAAGAGAGGCAGGGATGTCTGAGCTGCAATGGAGATGTGCCACTGACCCCTAGTGACAAGCTCCTGCCCCGATGCTGCACAAGAGAAGGCAACGACCGAAAAGGACCCGCAGCCAAGGAGATCGGGGGAGTGGGAATGCTCCTTGTCTTGCTGAAGGAAGGGGCCCTTCTGCTGTGGGCTGAGGGAGTGTTGGTGCAGCCACCCTAGCCCAGGACACCAGCCCCTCCACTCCTCACGCTGCGCCCAAGGCAGATGTTGGTGGATTGTACTGAGGAAAGGATTTATTTAAGACAAATATCACACTTCACCTCCACCAAATGAGAGAGTGGTGCAGTGGTGTCATCAAGGACAGGATGGGAAATGGCCAACATAGAGCTTGTAGAGCCCAGGAGCCAAGAGGCCAGTGGTCTCCTGGGGTACATGAAGAAAAGCGTAGCCAGCAGGTCAAGGGAGGTTCTCCTCCTTCTCTACTCTGCCCTGGTGAGGCCACCTCTGGAGGACTGTGGCCAGTTTGGGGCGCCCCAGGTCAAGAGAGACAAGGAACTGCTGGAGAGAGGCCAGTGGGGGCTGTGAAGATGCTGAGGGGCTGGAGCATCTCTGTGCCAGGACAGGCTGAGAGCCCTGGGGCTGTTCAGCTGGAGAAGAGAAGCCTCAGAGGGGATCTGATCAGTGCTGAGCAAGAGCTAAAGGGCCTCAGGGGGCAAGAGGCTGGGGCCAGACTCTCATTTATCAGTGATGCCCAGTGACAGGACAAAGGGCAAGATGATGGACCAGATGATCTCCAGAGGTCCCTTCCAACCCCCACCCTGCTGGGACTCTGGGACTCTGTAACCACCTTATAGAGCAGAGGAATGACAGGAACTCGTGGAGGATCTTGACCTGCTATTTCCCTGGGGAATGCTCAGCTGCATGGCAGGCTCTGATCTGCCACAGTTTACTACTTTAAATATATACATTTTGGCTCTAAGCCTGTCATTAAGTCCAAAAAAGGTCTGTTTCAATTAAGGGCTTCATGGTGAGCCCAGGATTAATGGGTCTATTTCTGTGCATTTCAAAACTCCCAACCATGTGGGCTCCTTGCAGGATGAGAAATAGAGACCTTACAATGCTCTCAGCTGTTCCTTACCCTCAATTTTCCCCCTTCTGAGTAACTTCAGAGCCATAAGGGGGAGGATCCAACCCCCCTGGTGTATCTCTGCAGTGCTATGGAAGGGAGCAGATGTTTACTGAAGGGGGTGGGAAGATTGTCATGGCACGGGTGGGATTAGACCAAGGTCCCCTCCAAACGCACAGCTCTCCCCAGCCCACATGCCACGCTGGACTGCAGGCTCAGGTCCTCCAGCATGGCAGGACAGACCCTTCTCTGGCCCCAGGAGATGGGCAGAGGCTGCTGGGAGGTCACCTCCCGAGGTCCCGCGTCTCCCCATCCAGATCTGGATGTGAAGCAGCTCCATGCCACCTCAGAAGGGTCTGTCCCCAGCGCTGCCAGCCTTGCCCTTCACCCCCCTCCCCTCGTTTCCAAAGCTCAGGGCTTTCTGCAGACCCTCCTCCCAGCTCAGGAGGCACCAACCTCACTGCCGTGGCTGAGAGCAAAGAAAAATCCAGGCTGCAAATAACCCCCTGGGCTCCTGACCAAGAAAATGCCAGCCCTGAGCAAAGCCATCTTCCAACCTGCCTGCCCTTGGGAGCTGCTGGCAGAGCTTTGTCCCAGCTATTCATGGCTGCTGGGAGGACCTGAGCTCTGGGTTTTGTAGCAAACTGGCCTTCACCAGATATCCCTCTTGCCCCCGAGGATGAACGTGCTCACTAATTTCATTCACAAGTCAGGAGTAGGCTTAGGAAGTGTGGGTTAGAGGAGTGGACAGTGAGGTGGATTGAAAGCTGCCTGAAGGACAGGGCTCAGAGGGCTGTAGTCAGCAGTGCAGAGTCCAGCTGGAGGCCTCTAGCTCCTGGTGTTCCCCAGGGGTCAGAACTGGGTCCAGTCTTCTTCATCATGTTCATCAACAACCTGGATGAAGGGACAGAGTGGACTCTCAGCCAGCTGGCTGATGATACAGAGCTGGGAGGAGTGGCTGGCACACCAGACAGGATAGAGTTGGGTAGAGAGGAACCTGATGAGATTCAGCAAGGGCAAGTGTTGGGTCCTGCCCCTGGGGAGGGATAACCCCCTGCAGCAGGACAGGTGAGGGGTGACCTGCTGGGAGCAGCTCTGTGGAGAAGGACCTGAGAGTGCTGGGGGACAAGCTCCCCAGGAGCCAGAAATGGACTCGTACAGCTAAGAAGGCCAGTGGTCTCCTGGAATGCATGAAGAAGAGTGTGGCCAGTAGGTTGAAGGAGGTTGTCTTAACCCTCTACTCTGCCCTGGTGAGGCCACCTCTGGAGGATTGTGCCCAGTTATGGGCGCCCCAGGTCAAGAGAGACAAGGAACTGCTGGAGAGAGGCCAGTGGGGGCTGTGAAGATGCTGAGGGGCTGGAGCATCTCTGTGCCAGGACAGGCTGAGAGCCCTGGGGCTGTTCAGCTGGAGAAGAGAAGACTCAGAGGGGATCTGATCAATGCTGAGCAAGAGCTAAAGGGCCCATGGGGGGCAAGAGGCTGGGGCCAGACTCTGATTTTCAGTGGTGCCCAGAGACAGGACAAGGGGCAACGGGCACAAACTGGAACCCAGGAGGTTCCACCTGAACAGGAGGAGAAACTTCTTTGCTGTGAGGGCGTCAGAGCCTGGAGCAGCTGCCCAGAGAGGCTGTGGAGTCTCCTGCTCTGGAGAGATCCCAAACCCACCTGGACACCATCCTGGGCACCCTGCTGTGGGTGAGCTGCTGGAGCAGGGGGTTGGATGAGATGATCTCCAGAGCTCCCTTCCAACCCCCCCATGTCACGGCTCTGTAAACACTTGGGGTGCCAGTTCAAGCAGCCCTGGAGTGGGTGGCACACTTGCCCTCCCAGCCCCACACGGTTACAGTGCAGATGTTTTTCTGAGAGCAGGGCTTGCTGACATAGAAACATTTAGGTTGGAAAGTGCATCTGTAGAGCTGCTGCTGCAACCGCAAGGAGAGAGAAATGTGCTTTTTACCCTGGAATCACTCACCCCTTCCTGCTCGGGGCCAACCAAAGTGCCCGAGTGAGACATATAGAAACTACTGAGCAGGGCTGAGCTGATTGGACTTTTCCAGTGTGGTTCATTGTGCTCATGAGCCTCCAGCACGCCGTGAGCTCACCCCATCCCTCCCCCAGCTATGGAGCTCCCTCACAGCAACCTCCCTGCAGATCTGCTCTTGCAGAAATGCAATCCCAACAGCAGCTGGAGGGACCAAGGTTTGGGGTGTACAGTCAGTTCTGTAAAGAGAAATCACAGCCACTGCAGAATCACAGAATTATAGGGCAGTTTGAGTTGGAAGCAATCTTAAAGCTCATCTAGTTCCAACCCCCTGCCATGGGC